ATGAACAGTGACAGCTATAATGTCAGAATTCAGGATATTGGACCAGACTAAAAGACAGGAGATCCTGAAGAAGGACGTAGCACTCTTGTCAACAAACAATTCTTTAATTTATGATCTCATTCCAGAACAGGAGAAAAGGGAATATTGGGGGCCTGTATTTTTTCATCATTGGCAGGTTGTTTTATAGCAGCAAATTTTTCTTGCCAATATAACTGGCAGGACCATTCATATACATGTTGTTTTTCTTTATGCCCTCAAGTTTTATGTTTAATGAGTAGGAGATACAAATTGCTTATGATGGTTGCTTTCTTCTCCACTCATTAAAATATCTTATGATGTTATTCCTGGTATGCATTGCATGTACAATCTTACATAGTGAATCCAGATTCTGGTTCATCACTTTTTTTTCTTTTTACAACATACGTACAATATCAAGGAGCCAAGGGAATCATTGTTACTTGGGTTGTGTATTTGATTCCAGGGCTATTCACTGAGTATTTACTGTGTGCCAGGTACTGTGTGGTTGTGAAGGATATAGTGGTGTGCTTGTTTCTGGTAATCTAGCATCAGAATTAAATGATAGGCAATGAGTGGTCAATCCTAAATGTTACTGAGCTTTTCAATGACAAATTATGCTGTCTTGCCAGCTTTTGTTATGGAAATATGATTTGTGTGTACTTGTTTCAACTTAAATTATAGGACTGTTTTACTTCAGTCTTGAAAATAGCAAATAAATGATAAATGAGCTACAGCCAGTCATGACATGGGCAAGACCATAATAATTTTCTCCATAGCAGAACTGCCTAATAAATCTTAATATTGAATAATCAGCAAATGAAAGAGGCAGACTTTACTTACACAACAACTTATGCCAATCCCTCTAAAATTAAAGCAAAACCAATTAAAAACAAAATTTTACCATATGGCAACTGAAACAATAGAGGTGAAATTTCCTTATTAAGTATTTCTTCGAGAGAAATGTCACTCACAAAGAAGTTAGGATATTTGCCCTCAAGAATAAGACTGTGAATGAGTTCATGTAAACGAAGATCGAAGTTCTGTAAGAGTGTATGTTATGCTTTTGAATATGAATATTTCCATTTATTCTCAAGATTATGTAAATTAAGTATAGATATTGTATTTAGAGCTATTTCAAGGCACCAAATTAGTTCTAAGAAACCATTTGTTGGCTAGCAATTGAAAAATGTGCACTATGCTATGACTTCCCATTCCGTCTCCAACCTTTATTCAAATGAACCTCACATCCAAACTGTTGAGACCATCAATTCATCTTTCAGGTGCTTAGTTATACCTCTTCTAGTTGTCAGTGTGAACACAGGATTGTTAGTAAAAGTAGTCAAAGCAACAAGTGCATCTCTTAGAGAAAGCTTTCAGCTGGCTTGATTGTGGCATGCAGTCTGGTAAACACTGCAGGTGCACAAGAAAGAGTAATAGAGGAAGGTGACAAATTATGACCATAAAGTAGTGGCTTCCAAGGACTCCTAGCAATATGGTTAAAAAGAAAACTGTGTAATTTACTGAGATGAGAATCTAAAAAATGATAGCCCTGTTTACAACTTTCTAATTTTGTACATATATATATATATATACCTGTTTTTTGCTCCAATATGTGAGATTATTAAAGCTTATAAGAGGTCAGTGAAGAGCAATGAGTGTGGTTTGGCTAAAGGCATATGAGCTTAGGTCAGAGCACAAAGATCCCAGTCAAATGTAATTACTCAAATGTATTTTTTGTTTGCTTTTGTAATTTTCCTAGAGTTTTAAATTTATTATTATGCATAATATCTGACCTCTGCCCCATACCTTGCTGAAACAGCCTTTGTTTTCATCCTTTGTATTGATGTCATTTAAAAAATTTGTATTATGAACCCATTCTTCAACATCTTTCCCTTTTTCTTGTTAGTCCTTTTTTTTTTTCTTTAGGATATAAGCAAATTGTATCTAATGAGACACACGTATAATAAGAGAAAGATGATGCAGCTTGCTGAGGTTCATGACCAGGTTCCCATTTCTCAGAATTTTTACTGACTTATATTGATCAGTACCTTAAAGGTAATAGTGGGATCTAGTTTGAGAAATTCATAATACATTTGAGAATCTCAGTTTAGTTTTAAAAGGTATGTGGAAGCAGTTAAGAATTTCAGAGAAGACCAAATCTGGTGGCTCATTATTTCTATCAGTCTTCTGATAGCAGGTTTTTTCCATGTTAGCATCAAATATTGAGAAGGGGGAGGGAGAGAAGTTGCTTCAGTATGGATTCTAAGACCATTAATTGGAATAATAACATTCCCTTCTAATGCCAAACCTCCTAAGACTGACAAGCTACGGAAGAATCTTAGACCTCGTGGTTTGAATGGCAGAGTAGCTCCTTCTGGGATCAATTCTTTGTGATGCATGAAAAGCTAGACTATTATGTTACAGAACAGTATAAGCTATAATATTTATAAGTGAGATTAACCAAGCTATTTAAAAGTTTGCTGTGTATGGTTGCAGATCTGCCTTTCAAACGGGAATACTAGTGTTCTTAATTACGAATTTTGCATTTCCTATGTCTATAGTTTGGAGTGGTATGTTCATTCAATCTTAGTTTGATTAACATTCACCTTATTTTTTCCAAGTGTGTTTTAAAACTTACAGTATGATTATTTAACAACTAATTATTTTAGAGAAATGGGTTTGTTTAAAAATCATGTAATGTTCAATAAAGCCAGTATGAGTGAAAAATTATTTACTTTCAGTTTGGAAGAGGTGAATAAAAAGTTCTTGGCCAATACCGTACCATTAATCTATTCTCTTTTCTCCTTTCTCTCTTTACTTCTCTCTCTCCAATAGAAGTGGAACAAAAAGGTAATTAAATACCTTTCATATAAATTATATACTATTTATAGGCTAAGTTATTTAACAGTTTAACATATAGTAAAAATAATTTTGTTATTAATTCTTATCTATTTTATGAAAATTTATTTACTACTTCTGCTGCTCAACTTCACTTTAGTCTGTTTTACTGACTAGTGCTGGTTTGATCCTTTTATCCTAAAGCAGTTTAATATTGTAAAATTTTCAATACTGTGTCTTATTCCTCTTTATTTCTAAATACATAGTTAAAAATCCATAGGATGCTGATAGTTATTGCTCTAGATGTATTTCTCCTTCTATACCAGGTAATTTTCCATAGCTCTGGTGTGGTTTCCCCTGTTCTTACAGTTTTTAATTATTGGGGGAAAAGGAGAGAGAGTTTTCTCAAATACCCTAAAGTGAATTACTTAAATAGCCCAAGTACTGATGATTAACTTTAATATCCAGGATATATGCATTTTTGACAATAAAGGGTATCTACTGGATTAAAATTCTTGAGAGATACCTATAGTTATCGAAATTATTGTTTGTAAATTGATGATAACCCTATATCTTTGCTATGAAAGGTTTTGGTAGTCAGCTTCCACCCTACCGCCACCACCAGACTTCATTTCTTCAAGAGTAATCCCCTGAGCACTTTAGTAATGTACTTTCCTTTCCAATCTTCTCCAAAATCTGGCTGAGTGTCATCTTAGGTTCTTTTCCATTGGATGTGCACTTAGAGTTACTGTTGAGAAGCTAAATACTAATTCTGAAGCAATAATCCTGTAATCATTAAAAAATGGGTCAACCTACAAATTCCCTGTGATTTCCTAATTTTTCCACCCACTACACTTCTAATCATTTCAAACATAACAATGGACTGCATGATTTTTCAATGTGTTTGCTTTGTAAATATATTAGAGCAGTGTTTCCCATAGCAAGTTCAGCAAAACAATGCACTCCAAGAAAGGTTTCAGAATTATCAAATTAGTTTGTGAAATTTGCCCAGCCCCTCCCTGCTTCTGCCTTTGAGATTCACAAATGTATGTAAGCTATTAGAATCTCTGTCACAACGTGGTTTGATGTGATCTTTCTTAAACAAATGTGGCAAAGGACCTCTTTTTTCCTTCCTGTGTGACATCCAACCATCCCACTTCAAATAGATGCTTCCAGGCCACCCTCTGGGAAACATTGCTGTACAGCCCCTTCATCAGATTAATCAGCTGTGCTTTCTCACCACCACTTACACAGTTTGCTACTGAGTCATACTAAAAATCGAGGAAATCAAATGATTCCTCCCCATGTTCATTCTGAAGTATGAGCAGCAAAATATGATAGCAAGTAATCTTGTTTTTTTAATGCTCTTCTCATGTAACAGTAAAAGGTACATGTTTTTAAGTTCCAATACCACTGTATTTAACAGGACATTTTTAACTGATTAAAATCTAGATCTTGGGTTCTTTTCTGTAACCTTTTGTCTTTTCTTCTTTCCTTATTCCTCTTTCCTCTCTTTTTCTTCCTTTCTCTTTTTCCTTCCAGTATCCATCCATCACTCATTTTTAATTGTGTGGGTTGCATGCTCTGTGTGTGTTGTAGCAACTATGAGAGCCTTTATGTTAGAAGATTCAGTGACCTGTAACACAGGACTTTTCTTTTCCTTGATAAAAAAATCACAGAGAAAAAATATATATAGGCTATTCACCTATTTCTTAATTCAGCTATTTAATAGCTAATTTCATGAGAAATTTTTACACCAAATAAGTTATATTCTTCAGTGAACTAATAAAAACATTGTGTATAAACTTTTGTGCTTGTTATGTCTATAGAACGCATAGACATATGTTGTCACACCTGATACATATATCCAAAAGTATGTAGCTCGTATTTTCAAAGGTAAAATATACAGGAAAGTACAGCTGCTTAGAAAAGTCTAATTTTTTTCAGCAAATGAAAACACAATATTTTGGGAAAAAAAGTTACAATTGATGTGCAAGAATACTTTGTGGTCTCAAGATAATATAGTAAAATAAGTGGTGGCGGGTATCTTTTGTTAGAGTTGCATCCCATTTGGTGACAAATAAAAATATCTGTCAAAATGTAAATTAATACATTTGTTATTTTAACTCTTTCCCTTCCAACAGTTTTTCTTTGTCCTGGACTACTAAAAGGAGTGTACCAGAGTGAACATTTGTTTGAGTCCGACCACCAGTCTGGGGCATGGTGCAAAGACCCTTTGCAGGCTTCTGACAAGATTTATTACATGCCCTGGACACCCTACAGAACCGACACCCTCACTGAGTACTCATCCAAGGATGATTTCATCGCTGGGAGACCAACGACAACCTACAAACTCCCTCATAGGGTGGATGGCACAGGATTTGTAGTGTACGATGGAGCTTTGTTCTTCAACAAGGAGCGCACCAGAAACATTGTAAAGTTTGACTTGCGGACTAGGATCAAGAGTGGAGAGGCTATCATAGCCAATGCCAATTACCACGATACCTCCCCTTACCGATGGGGAGGCAAATCTGACATAGACCTCGCAGTGGACGAGAATGGGCTATGGGTGATCTATGCAACAGAACAAAACAATGGCAGAATTGTCATTAGTCAGTTGAACCCTTACACCCTACGGATTGAAGGGACATGGGATACTGCATATGATAAGAGATCAGCTTCCAATGCCTTTATGATTTGTGGAATTCTGTACGTGGTCAAATCTGTATATGAGGATGATGACAATGAGGCCACCGGAAATAAGATTGACTACATTTACAACACCGACCAGAGCAAGGATAGCTTGGTGGATGTGCCCTTCCCCAATTCATACCAGTACATAGCCGCTGTGGATTACAATCCCAGGGACAACCTACTTTATGTGTGGAATAACTACCACGTCGTGAAATACTCTTTGGATTTTGGACCCCTGGATAGTAGATCAGGTAAGTTTGACTATTGATGGAGATCTGTGGGTGAAATGTTTACGGTTTATTTCCAACAAGTTTGTTGTACATTTGGATTAGACTCTGTGGTCTTCTGATCAGTGTAACTAAAAATTGTGCATTGTTTATTCATCCATAAGACACTGCTGTGTGGCACAGTGGTTTAAGCTGCTGCTGTGACACCTGCATCCCCTATCAGAGTACTAGTTCTTGAGTTCTGGCTCCTCCACTTCTGATCCAGCTTCCTACTGATGTGTCTGGGAAGGAAGCAGATGATAGCCCAAGTGCTTGGACCTTTGCTACCCACTAAGAATACTGGGATGGAATTCCTGGCTCCTGGGCTTAGTCTGGTCCAGCCCTACTTTTGTGGGATTTGAGGAATGAACCAGTGGGTGGGACATCTGTCTCTTTCTCTGTCTCCCTGCCTTCCAGATAAATAAATACATCTTTAAAAAGGTGTAACCCTTAGAAGCGGACTCCTCTCTTTGGTGTGGCTTGTCTCCAGTCTGTGGCCCTTATGCTTTGAAGCACATCTGCCCTTATCAGCTGGTTAGTTCTTTACAGAAGCACACAGAAACTTTGCTTTAAGTAGAAAGCATTCCATTCTAATTAATTGTGAAGTGCCCTCAGCTGTGCTCTCCACTTGGCTTGATGTCCTGATTCAGACGCCCTGCACCACTGTCTCCACTGCAAGATGAGTGTAAGATTGGACCGCCACATCCGGGAGTATGGTCAGTTAGAGAGTACGTGATGTAGAGTAAAACTAACTGAAATATAGGGGAAAAAAATGTTGAGAGGTACAGAGAAAAATAGATGTCAATTTTGTGAGAAATGACAGTGGAAACATAGTTTTGAGTAAGAATGAGATGATCTTTAATTCCAATGCCTTAAAAGTGTCCTTTTCCCTTTTAGAACATACTGTTTCCTTTAGTGCTGTTTGAAGACAGAGCCAAAAATAACCTTATTTTTTTTTTCATTTTTGTTTATGCAAATGAGCAGGATTATTCTAATTCAAAAGTTAGGTTGCATAACAAGACATAGTAGTGTTTTTTGTTTTTTGTTGTTGGTTTTTTTTTTTTTTTTTTTTTTGACAGGCAGAGTTAGACAGTGAGAGAGAGAGAGGGAGAGACAGAGAGAAAGGTCTTCCTTCCGTTGGTTCACTCCCCAAATGGCCACAACGGCCAGCGCTGTGCTGATCCAAAGCCAGGAGCCAGGTGCTTCCTCCTGGTCTCCCATGCGGGTGCAGGGCCCAAGCACCTGGGCCATCCTCCAGTGCACTCCCTGGCCACAGCAGAGAGCTGGCCTGGAAGAGGGGCAACCGGGACAGAATCCGGCACCCCAACCGGGACTAGAACCTGGTGTGCAGGTGCCACAGGTGGAGGATTAGCCTAGTGAGCTAAAGTATAATGGACAACTAAGATATTGAGTCTGAATTTTGATAGTAATTGACAATTTAAAGTACATTATGTCTGTCATTCAGAGTTTTCTTGTTAATATTTCTTATGTTCTGCATGGTTGTTCTACACCATGCTTTTACCAGCTTTCTGCAGTCTGCTTTCTGACCTAAACCATCTCATTATCGAACTAGATTCTGAGTTTCTTAAGCCAGTGGCCTTGCCTTACCTGTATTTTGATTATATCCTTATCTGGGATAAAGACTCCAGTGTTATATATTGCAAATATACATATAAGGTTTAATGGCTGTTGAGTGAATGAGTTTCCCCTTTTTATTCAGCAAGAATGACAAAATAAGTGACATTTTCCCTAATTTTCGAGAAGCTTCAGTCAGAGTGATAGCACTTCTTTCCATAGTCAGCAGCCATAATATTATATGGAAGGAAAAACCTAAATATGTAACAGTAAGCAAAGCAAATTCTCTTTACTAAGTCCTAAGTGATCTTCTAGACTAACAGCGTTATCTGCTCACCACTGCATAGGTAAGTTTTTAACCCAGTGTCTTCGGTACTTGAAAACATGGGCCAGAATTTATCCTCTCATCTGTTCTTGGAAGATGGTCATTTTGTGGTTGTGATCTTCTTAATCCAAAATTTGCAGTTTTTCAGCGAAAATTCTGTTTAGGAATGAGTCTTAGCCTTTTGTGATTCTTAAATGGAATGGGGAGTTATTGTTATTTTGCAGTTAATTGTTGAGTAGTGGAAATAGCATAATTTAAATTTTAGTTATTTAAAAATCACAGATTGCATATTATTTTCATTTAGAATAGAGTTAAAATTATTTAGCATTTCAGGGTTTGAGCTGACAAGCTAAAGCAAATGCTTAACTCAGCTTTTATAAATATCTTCAAAGACTAAGATGTAGTGACAGGGTTTTAGGCTGCTGGTTAAGACATCTATGTTCCATATCAGAATACTTAAGGTGATGCGCTGATCCACCTTCCAACACCAGCATCCTGCTAAAGCAGACCCTGGGAGGCAAAGGTGATGGCTCAGAAAAACAGTTTCATCCACACACATGGGAGACCTGGGTTGAATTCCTGACCTATGGTTTTGGCCTAGCCCGTGCTTGATGTTGCAAACATTTGGGGAAAGAACCAGTGGATAGGAATTGTCTGCCTGCCTGCCATTCTCTCTCTGTTTCTCTCTCTCAAATAAGTAAATAATATTTTAAAAAAGTAAAATGAGGACCAGCAATGTGGTGCAGTGGGTTAAAGATTTATTTATTTATTTGATAGAGATACACAGAGAGAAGAGAGGCAGAGAGAGAGAGAGAGAAAGACACAGAAAGAGAGGTCTTTCATCAGATGGTTCACTCCCTGATTGGCCACAACGGCCAGAGCTGTGCTGATCTGAAGCTGGGAGCCAGGAGTTTCTTTCAGGTCTCCCACATGGGTGTAGGGGCCCAAAGACTTGGGCCATCTTCTACTGCTTTCCCAGGCCATAGCAGAGAGCTGGATCAGAAGTGGAGCAGCCGGGTCTCGAACCGGTGCCCATGTGGGATGCCTGTGCTTCAGGCCAGGGAATTAACCCGCTGTGCTACAGTGCCGGCCCCTAAACTCACTTATAATGCCAACATCCCATGTCAGAACACAGGTTCCAGTCCTGGCTACTTCACTTCTGATCTAGCTACCTACTAATGTGTGTAGGAAGGCAACACAAGATTGTCCAAGTACCTGGGCTCGTGTTACCCCGATTGGAGACATGGGTGGAGTTCTTGTTCGTGGCATTGGCCTACCCCAACCCCAGCTTTTGCAATCATTTTGGGAGTGAACTAGTAGATGGAAGATCTGTATCTGTCACTCGCCTTTCAAATGAATAGAAATAAATTTTTAAAAAGAGTAAAATGATACCATGATCTCATATATTTAGGGATTTTCCAAAAAGGTTTCCAGTATACATCAGTAGAGCATGAATGTGTATTTATGTTTATAACAATAATATACTGTATATAACTCATGTACAAGGGGTATCAAAAAAGTTTATAGAAACTGTATATTATGTAAGTGCATAGATCTTAATATCTTTGCACTAAAATAAACTTAACTTTTAATTTCATTTTCTCATGAATTTTTCAAGGTACCCTTCTGTTTTTAGAGAGAGAGAGAATATGAATTATTGTATGCTTGACATAATGAAAATTTTACCACTCTATTTTATTTACTTTTTGTTTATGGAAGTTAAAATATGGGCCATAGTGCTGCATGTGGTAGAGCCCATATTTGTTAAAAGAATGTTATTAAAATGGTAACCACTGAGAAATGATGAACTGTAGGTATCACAGGAATTCCAAAGTTAATCCAAGAGATTCAGGTTTCACCTTTATGAACAATGATAATTAAGACCTTGTCTGTTTTGCAAATAGTGGGATTCATCTGCATTAAATTTGTTCAATATAATCACAAAAAAGCATCAATTTTCATGCACGAATGCTCAGATTAAAATGCTAGTACTTTGGCATGGACTTACTGCAGTTTAACAGTGGAGAGAATAAGTGTAGAAGTAAATTTTATGCATGGTATGTGTGGATATGAGAATTTCAATTAGCATTAATGGAAGCTCTTCATCTTATTCCACACAAACAATTTTAGCTGGGTGTTTTCTTTAGTAAATTACATTGACATTTTTCAAAGAAATTGCCTTTTGTGAATTCTTACTACCATTTTATGTAGTTCTTTTTAAAATTTATTTTAATGTTCCCTTATTTTTATTTGAGAGAGAAAGAGAGAGAGGTCTTCCTTCCACTGCATTACTCCCCAAACACCCACAATAGCGGGGCCTGAGGTGGGCCAAAGCCAGGGTCCTGGAATTCCACCTGGATTTTCTCCTTGTGTGGCAGGGACCCAAGTAACTAAGCCATCACCCATCCCTCCCAGGGTGCAGGGAGCTAGAGTTGGAAGTGGAGCCAGGACTTGAACCCAGGCACTTTCATATGGAATGAGGGCATCCCACTTGGTGTCTTAACCACTGCACCAAATGCCCACCCCCATGTGTTTTCTTATACATGTATATACAAAAACCTTCCACGTGTTACATGTACTTTAGGCTCAAAAATTAAATGTATGTCTGTAGACCCAACGTGTATTTGTTGTCGCCATCTGTTGGTAGCAGGCTTTTTCTGCCTTGATTTTAACTTTGTTCCAATCAAGAAGAAATCACACTTTCAAAGTTGTTTTTTGTTTGTTTGTTTGTTTTTTGTAAATGGACACCTGTGCACCTGTGCTTTGCTTCTGCTCTATATAATTCTTCTGTACTTCAAAAGATGTGGTGGTAGAAGGCAAACGACAAAGATGCTTCTCTTGGGTGTCTCATTGCTCTGTGGTGATGAGCATGAGGTAGGCAGATGCTTCTGAACATGAACTCGAGAGTCCAAGGACTTGTTTTGAATTCTGCCTCTCACCAGTTTGACTGTGGGCAATTCAGTCAGCCTGTCGGTCTTGATTTCTTCACTGGAAAATGGAAAAAATAATCACTCAGATTAGTGTTTTTTTAAATTTTTTTTAAATATTGATTTGTTTATTTGAAAGGCAGAGTTACAGAGAGAGA